TCTACATGTGACCACAGTAGGACAAACCGACAGACAAGTTTGTCTTGCTGTTGGAGACCTCTCGTATCACCCCCAACTGGGTCCCTGTGGCTGACTGGACCTCTGTGTGGCTTCCTGGCTTTTAATCCCCTTTCTCCTGCTCTTCTGCCCTGCTGTTTTGTGAGTCCCTAAGTTGTCCCTGGGGCTGACTGCTCCTCTGTCCGGGTTCCTGGCTTTTTATCCCCTTTCTCCTGCTCTTCCGGCCTGCTACTCTTAACAATTACAACAATCTAAAGAGCCAAATGGAGCTTCTAGAAGGTCTTTTGAAAAAAAAAGTATTTCTAATATATATGCTCTTATCAAGTAAAAAAGGGAGACTAAGAGTGGAACAAGAAAGAAGGCAAAATCTTAGATGAATTTTCTTTAAAAAACTGAAACACAGAAGTATAATGGAATAATTTAAGTATATTATTTGGTTATACCTGTTGTGAAACTGTGGAATAGAGGAAAAACTACAAATTAAACAAAGCTTTCAGAATCGAGAAACCATACTAAAAGTGGGTTAAAGCAGCTTTTAACTTCAGGGAAAAAAAAAATAATAACATTACATCAAATCATAAAGATTATGCAGGCTGGTCAAATTTTACTACTTTGCAATACACAGTTATTGCAGTGATTATACATAGATATAATAAACATTAATTTCACAAAGAGAAAAACTTAAACAATGTAGGACAAGGTGAAAATCCCATCTATGTAAGTAAACATTGCACATCAGTGTGTGTATTATTAATGTAGTATGGTATTTTTGTTTGCCCAAAGAAGACAGGGTTAAAAAATAATTTATTAAGTAATACTGTGACATGATGACCAAGGACTGAGCCACAACACAGATTCACAGAGCATCAATATAGTATTAAGAAAGATTTAAGGAAATTTAAAATAAAATTTCTTTGCCAAGTAACACCATACCCATCAGTAAGCAGCTTCTCTGGTATAAAATCAGATGAATTTGACACCAAGAATTGTGATTTATAGTAACAATATTCTTACAATTATCAAGATACTTTTACAAATGTGATTAAAATAAGAAAATAAAACAAACTTCATGCTAAACACTTTTGTTTCTAAGAAATTAAAGCTAACCTTTAGTCAAAATATTTTCCTATTTTCTTCTTTAAAAATATAAAGCACCCAGGAGTCCTTTTTTGTTCTGTCAGAAATGTATGGAATGAATGCTTCAAATGGCAATATAAATACTTTAAAATTTTAATAGTAATTTTAAATATCCAGGGGAAAATGAAGTGACAATTACTTTCATAGGAACATTATTAGCATACTTTCTTTAGGAAGTGATGGAAAAAAAATTCAAAACTGCCAGAGATTTCAAAATAGCAAACGGAAATGTAGAAATGGATTATAACCAAATCTTTTAAGTTCACATGGTAGTGATTTTAAAAAATGCAATAAATATTTCTGGACCAGCGCTAAGTCAGGCACTGTAATACATACTAAGGATGTTGAACTTACAGAATTATAAAGAATCAATCTTCAGGCATTACTGATTCAGTTATTATTCAATGAGGGAAGAACTTTACCTGTTGTTGTCCAGGCTGGGCTTGTGACGCTGCTTGCTGATTTGCTGTGTTGTTTGCAACTGCTGCAGCTTGTTGCTGAAATAAATTGGCTGGATACACCCCCCATGGAACACCATAATACTGAGGTGGAACCACTGCTGGACCTAAACCCCATCACCAACCACAAAAAAAAAAAAAAAAGAAACTCTCTATGTTTTGTAAATGCATGAGGTCGGTGACAAGAAGATTAGAAAAGAGGACAGTACCTAAGACTTAGAGCAGATGTTGTCCTTATAACCATGTACCCACTTATACCTGCTATATATCCTTTATACCTTTTCTGATTTTATTAGAGAGAAAGTATCATTCAGCTATTATTAAAACAGTTAACTGTTCAAGACGAAAAATAGTGCCCGAAAGGAGAGATGTGAAGCTTAAACTCCATGAAAGGACACTTAAGCAATGGAACATTAATTAAATGTCAATTTATGGGTCTAGTATCAATAAACATAAATAACATATTCAGGAAACATTAGACACCATAAAACTAACATTTTCTATATTCAAGTCATCATTTCTCTTGAAACAGATCATTTTCTGATCTTGAAAAGAATTACAAAAACAAACAAAATGTTTCTTTCTACCTTTGCAATCTGTATGACAAAACTAGAGAACATTCTGCTATCAAACTTGCAACAACTGTATCTGAACTGCAAACGATTAATTTAAAAATAGTTTTCATATTAAAAATAGAATTAATCATGAAATCTCAACTGAAAATTACATTAAAAGAAATGAGGTATTAGTCTTTATGTTGTGAGAAAAATGGGACTAGTGAGTCCAGATAAGAAAGAACTAGATAATATAAGCATAGAGGGAAAGAGGTAAGAAAGCAAACTATGAAAAATAAGAATTATTCCTTACTTTATTCAAGATAATATTTGATCCCTGGCAAGAAAACAGTACTATATACAATAAGCTCTACTACTAAACTAATGGATAAAACATCTTGAATTCTGATATAATAAATATGCTTTAAAATTCCACTAATATGATTTTAGCATATTTAATGCATACATCAAAATAATAGAATTCTTGGTTTCACTTTGTTTTGGAAGAAAATGAAGCCTAGTGTAACTTACTGAATTACTAAAACAAAAATGCTTAAAAAGGTAAAACAGAATGTAACTAAAGACAAAAACCTTAACTAAAGACAAGTAAGCATAATCTCATAGTGAGACCTGTTAAATACACAAAGTGTTTATGATGGAAGTATATATGATAAAAATAAATAAATAAAGGTAGTCATCTACCTAAAATGCACTGTCCAAATACAGTAGCCAGGAGCCATACATGTGGCTAATGATCAATAAAACTGTAGGTAGCTCATACTGAGATATGCTATAACTATATAATACACATCAAATTGTGAAGACTTAGCATGAAAAGGAGAATTAAAATATTGATTTTGATAATATTAATAATTTTGGAAAATATTTTGGACATGTTGGGTCACAGCAAATATATTACTGTTTCTTTTTACTTTTACAAGGAGTCTGTCTACTAGCAAATTTAAAATTACGTATATAAGAGCCATATATAGCTTACTGCACAGCACTGGCTTAAAAAGTCTAAATTAGGAATGGCTAGAATGTTATCTTGAAACTAAATGGCCTGCTAAAGACGCTTTTCTCACTGACATTGCTTAATGAATATCTGTATGTATAATATACAAGCACTTTACATACTTATGGGAGCTCAGGTAGCGTAGTGCCTAAGGCACGTGACTGCTAATTAGTTGGGTCTGACTCCATGGCACATAACAACAACAACAATTACATACTTATAGTCATTTAAAGGGCATGGGAGCTCTGGTAGCATAGTGCCTAAGGCACGTGACTGCTAACCAGATGGCTGGCAGTTCAAACCCACCAGCCACTCATCAGAAGGAAGGTTGGGCAATCTACTTCTGTAGTGATACTGCCTCGGAAACACAAGGAAGGGTTGTTATGAGTTGGGTCTGACTTGATGGCACATAACAACAACAGCAACAGGAAAACTTAGAGCCTTATGGAATCACAAGCAGATCTACATTCAAAAGTTGCTGAATACATAGCTTCCAGTCTGCTAGCTAAGATATCCAGAGAGAATTCAAAATTAATACTTTTTTTCACTTTTTAAAACAAAGCCTTGAGTATCAGAAAAAAATCCCCAGACTTCTAAGAAAAGACTGGCTGTTCAAGAGTTGTGACAATAAATAACCACTCAAGTAGATTTAAACTTGTTTAATTGACAATTCACTTTAGGGAACATATCTCTGAAAGCCACATAATCAATGACAGCCTCCAAATTTGAAAGTCAGCCAATTAGCAGACACTGTAGTGAACACACTTCTATGGTTTATATCAACCCATTCCTGCCTGTCAACTATAAACTAATTTATTCTGTCCCTGTAATCAGCTCAGTGAGACTATGCCTGACCAGCACAACTCTCCCCTATCTAAATGAGCAATAAATTCAGTTAACTTCTGATTTTGAATGGTGGTCTCATGGTTTGACAGGATTTAGTAAGTTCTTTCCAACTACACCCTACCTTTTCATCCCCCAGCTTCCTTGCACCTTTTACCACTAAGTAAATTTTACTTTTTAATTAATCATTCTCTCAAGATTGCTGAAGCCGTTTATCTTTATACTTACCCCTGAACTGAGTATTCACACCAGCTACTTCCAGTTTACTTTCTGAGAAATAACTTTAGTCTGAATTGTCTCTTTGAGTAATGGTTTAGTCACAAGGATAGAAATTTGTGGTTGATAATTAAAATTTCCAAAACTACAAAACTGAAAGTAAACAAACTATGTATATCACAAAAAGAGTTACTGCTTAGGCTTTCTCCTGCAAGCACTATATAGCATTACCCTGAAAAAATAGCTTACCCTGTGGAAATTTTAGCTCATTTTGGATAAATGTTTCAGTTTTCCTAGGAACCTCAAATTGTCCAAGTAGACAAAAACCAAGCTTACACCAAAATTGTAACTAAATCCTTAATATGCAACAAGGAACAATAAATTACCTGCTAATGTTGCTGCTGCAGCCAATCCTGCTGCAGTATATGGATCAGTTCCTGGAGGAGCAGCACTAATAATATAAGGATTTGGCACAAATGCAGCTGGAGCAAGGCTGGCCGAAAACACACCTGCTGTTTTTAAAAAGAGGAGAATCAATAAATAAAAATGCCAAGTATGGTTTTCTTCACTAGATAAAAAACATTTCTAGTTTGAATTTGGGGGTAAAATTGAGGGAAAAGGTTTATAATGGCACAAATCCTACCAGCTGAGTGATCTTGGCCATGTTACACTACCTAATTCTAAGGTTTCCCACTTACAAAATAAGTGTATCACCCACTGAATTGTAGAATTTTTGTGAGAATTAAATATACTGAATATGAAATGACTGTATAGCACCAGCACATAATAGGTAGATAATAAATGTTAGTTCCTTTTTCCCTTGCTTCAGTATTTTAAACTTTGAAGATGTACCTAAGGCATCGTAAGATGGAGATGCACCTAAGGTCAATCAATAAAAAACTATTCTAAATTTAGAGTTAGCCTGCCAAAAGGTAGTGATTCACTCAATCTTTATTAAACCATATTAAGAGCTAGGGATTCAACAGTGAAGACAGAGGTAAACTGGCAATTACAATATGATATACAAAGTAATATGGGCTTTTTGGAAGGAGTGGGTCAGATAAAAAAAAAAAAAAAAGATTACACAAATCTACACAGGTGATACAACAACACAGAAGGATAAACACACACTATATCAATGTCATTTTCCTAGTTTTGATACCGTAATTACGTAAGATGTAATCACAGCAGAGATTGGGTATAGACTATCGGGAACTTCTGTACTATCTTTGCAACTTTGTGTGAATCTATAATTATTTCAAAATAAAAAAAAAATGAAACCAAAAAAACCCCATGAACTCATTTTACTCCATATTATACTATATGAAGGGGTAAAATCACAATAGAAAAGATTTTTGGGGGGAATGGATACCAGACAGATTTCTCTCTATTAATAAACGGCAAAGATTTGCACTTGATTGGGAAAAGGAGAGAAAAAAAACACAAAATAACCAGAAAGTGAAACATAGAACACTGCCAGGACCCCAAATATTCAAACATTAATACTGTATATCATGCTTGTAACTGCTATAATAATTCACATTAAAGACTAAAGGCCAAATACCACATAACTTAATGAAGGAAGAAAACATTAAGAATCTATCTTGGAATTCTTGTTTTCAAACAACTTTTAAAATAAACATCCTAACTTGTTAGTGGACACAAATAACTATATTTGAATTTCCAAGTGTTTGACTCCCTTGAACTCACACAGGGAAAAAAACCACCTTATGTGCTGAGAACTTTTACCAAGGTACAGATTTTTATTTAACCAATGATGCAAATAATAATCAGACACAATTCTTCACTACTTAATCTTTATCCTTGCCATGTAATCTATTACTCTTTATTATCAATAATGTATTTCAAAAAGTAATGAAGTATCATTAAGCAATATATGAAAACATTCTGAACATTTCAACAGAAGATTTTCTAATAGTTTAGTCAAAATGGTAATTTATAAAAGCTTACCTATATGTGGCTGCTGAGCTGCAGCTAATGCATATTGCTGCTGTTGAGCTGCAGTTAACTGCTGAACTGTTAGTGCGTTAGTCCTCTGAAAGAGCTATTAGGGAAAATATTTAATATAAAGATTAGTCTCAAAACATCACGTTTTTAATTGGAAAACTGGAAAAAAAATATTTTAAGCACTTATTTGAACCACTTTCTCAAATGAGGGCATTTTATTCAATAATATGCTAAGTATACACTTCAGAATGCATGCACTGCCGTAGAGTTGGATCTGACTCATAGCGGCCCCTCCTTGGGTTTCCGAGGTGGTATCATTATAGAAGTAGATTGCCCAACCTTCCTTCCGAGGAGTGGCTGGCGGGTTTGAACCGCAAGCCTTCTGGTTAGCAGTCAAATGCCTTAGGCACTGTGCCACCAGAAGAACTCCCTTAAGAGGCACTTCTTAAAGAAAGGGCAAGGTTTACCTGCTGCTGGGAATTGTAGTCAAAAAGGCCTACAGTAGCTCCCGAAGAATCCATTGGTACCTGGTTACCAGGATAGTCAAATTGTAAGGACTCCAGACCAACTTGTTCCATGGCATCCAGATTCTGAGTTTCAGGGTTTGAAAATTCTTCAACAAGTGGTTTATTAGCTGTAGGATTAGGAAGAGGCCCCAGTCCTTCTGGGGGATTAGTATTTGGGCCTAGGCGCTCAACTACTTCAGTTGGAGAGGCCTGACGACTTCCAGGAGTACGACTATATAAAGAAACAGAAAATGTCGTAAGTAAAAGTAACCTAAAAAAAAAAAAAAAGATGAAATAGGAAATATGAAATCATGAAAAACCAAGGGTAGTATAATACAGTTGGCAAATAGGGCACCCTGGGTCACTAAATAATACATGTTATCCTTTTCCCCCTGAATATGAATGCCTATTAAGAGTTGACATTCACTGACTTTTTTTAAATTTAAATATTAACAGTCACTCTCCCCAGTATGAATAGCATAATTACACAACTTAATAAGAAGACTGGCCAGTATCATAACTTCAGCTTATATAACTTACAACCTTTTTCTCAAATCAGATATATGAATAGCAGATATGAAAAGCAGATTACCAAGTGGCAGATAGGGAAGGGCACAAAACACAAACCACCACCACAGTCCTGTCCTGCTCACCAGTACATAAACTATTTTGCCATAATATCTTGTTTAATAATAAAGAAAAAAATGGCCACAGGGATCACTGTGGTCTTCAAGAGGTAAGAGATGCATGATAAAACACAAAAAGGCACTAAACTAAGACAACAGACTGACTCCTGGTTCTGTGTGTGTGTGTATGTGTTGTGTATCTGTTAAAAAATACAGGTAACAAAATATTTGCAGTTTCAACAAACTTTGCATGCACAGTTCAGTGACATTAATTATGTTTATCAGCTGGCTATGTCTTCTGAATATGATTTCAAGTACATAATTTCATGTTCTAGGATCTAATTTCCTCATTAAGGAGAATGAAGAGATGACCTTGTGGTTTCAACTAGCAAACAGAAAAGAAACTGTGAAACTCCTCTATGATAGCTCTCTGAAGACAGTCTTTTTAATTATACCAAATTGTTTGTTTAAACCAGAGATATAGAATATATTTATACAAATTAAGTATATACAGCAAAGAACAATTCTACATAAAAAAAGGAAAAATAACTTTCTTCACTATATGGCCTCACTAATTTTCCCAAGAAATTCATTAACACTGGACTAAATACTACTAGCTTTTTTCTTTTTAGCAATACTGTTTATGGTCTAAACTTTATTTTTACCTTATTTCTAGACCTAACTGATCATATTTACAACCATCCTTTTCGTCTACCTAAATGTTTTATATAGAATTCATTCCCTGACCAGAAGGTAGCTTATTGTTCTGATGAACCATGTGTTCATAATATGTTCAAACATGCATACATTAAATAAATGTCAATTTTGTTTTACTTAGCTTTTAATTCAGTTAAAGAGCTTTGCCGGCACTGTGGTTAAAGCATTCGGCTGCTAAGCAAAAAGTCACCAGGTTCAAACTCATCATTCATTCCGTGGGAGAAAGATGAGGCAGTCTGCTTCCATAAAAATTTACAGCCTTGGAAACTCTATTGGGTAGTTCTACTTTGTCCTACAGAGTTGTTGCAAGTTGGAATAGACTTGATGGCAGTGGGTTTTTAATATAGTTGTTACATATATAAGTGGTCTGTCTTCAACTTCAGGTGTCTCACATTGGGATAAATTTGCAAACATGTACATGCCTTCTAGACATTTAAATTTCTAGACATTTAAATTTTAAATTCTAGACATTTAAATTTGCAAACATGTACATGCTTGCTAGACATTTAACTTACATTTGATTTAAAAATCAAGTGTTGTCCTTAGAACATCAGAAGAAATTTGAACCCCTTTTCCCTTTAATTATACTTAGTTTTTCATTCAGAATGTATAGGAAGAAAAAATAAAACTAGAATGATCTTCTTTAAAATTAGTCAATTAAAAAAAAAAAGGCCTGCCATCAGACTTCCATTCCTTCCAGTTCTACTCCGATAATATACATATATATTGATGTATTAGGTAATGTACATATTAATGATGTATTGGTATAGTGACCATATGGCTAGTTATTCTTTTAAAACTTAGAAACATGTCAAGTAGTAACTATTATTGTATCTAAAATAATTCTTAAGTAACTTAAGACACATACCCCCTAAATTAATAAAAATTTAGAATACTAAAAGATACAAGGTTCACTCTTAACATTTTAATGGGACAAGTATAGTTTTTTATATATATACAATTCTAATATAGAAAATAGTAGAGAGTGCAATAGAAAAAAATCATTGTGCTATGAGTGGTGCTATTTTCTTGCTATAGTTAATGGTATATTAACACTTCAATTATAAATGTATAAATTGAAAGATTTAAAATAAATTCATGTTTAAATGCATGCCCTTGACTAAAGCTTAGACTAGGTAAAAGCAGATGAACAAAATCATGATAAGGTTCTAAAACAAATAGAATAGCATTAAATTTATTTCTTGTCAAAGAGGTTTACTGGTTTTGGATGCTTTTTTGCACTTACATTTCTATGGTATGTTTTTAAAGAAGCAATGTCACTCTGCTTTTGATAAATAAAGCCAATAAATGTAAAAGTATACCACTCTCTATGTACCTATACCCTGCTGACTGAGAGTCCATGGTTCATAAGATCTTACAGAAACATCTAATTTTCAGGTACAGGCTCCAAAGAATCTGACCATCAAATGATAACATATAGGAAACCAGTATGAAGAAACAACTCCCTAATATTTATATAAATATGTGTACTGTTTTAATCTATGACCAACAACTAGACACTTAATAGCCCTAAAGAGATAGGTAAAAAGTTACAACTAAGAATTCTGAGCTTAAAGTTAACTCCAGTAAGTATTCTTACAAATTTGTGCATCATTAAAAAGGGCCCTGGTCCTAAGCTAATTATGTCTCTTTTCTAAGCCTACCAGTCAAATGGTGTGTGCGTGAATGGATGGGGAAGTCAGAGACAGAAAGAAAAGAAACAGAAAGGAGCTCAAAAGCAACCCCAAGAAGTGTTTGCCAAAAAAATCAGCAGGTATCCTTATAAAAGAATAAAATCTTAGCTCAGATTTACACAAGGTACAAAGGGAAATAAACCTAAATTAGAAAAATGTCTGAATCAATCACATCCCTGAAGAGATAGGCTTTTCTTCCGGAGAAAGTTAAAATCTTACTTAAAATCTTTGCAATCGGCATCCATTCCATTTGGCAAACCTCTGCCATTTATTTTAGAATCATCATCATCTCCTTGTTTAAGATCTCTGTTTTGGTCCTGCTCAAATGGAGAAGCCTTGCCTTTTTGATCTCCTTTCTCAGGTCCATCTGTTTCAGCATCTCTAGTGCCCTGAGGAAAAAGAATCTGTTTGATTCTGAGTATTTAATAAAACACAAAAAAAGGCACCATCAGGTGATCTACAACTACACTACAGTGCAGTGCATGTAAACAACAAAAGCAATGACTCTTATTTTCATTTCATAGCCAACTAATTTATTAAAGGCCAAAAAATTGAGTACAATCCAGTGATTTATAACAGAAGGGCTAAGTCAACCTTAACTATAGCGGTGCTGGAAAAGCAGTTAACACCACAAATTAAGAGCTCTATTTAGTGCACAGACGATTTTGTAGAACATACTCCAAAACTCTGGATTTATGCTTAGTTATTTCAGATCAACCACTACCATGAAAATGCATTTCTAATCTTATAAATTACATTTTTAAATCAGTATGATTTGATTTTTAAAGCACGGTTATTATAAATATCCCCAATGGATCGATCATCTGATGTATTCAAGAAGTGGCCAAATGAAGAAAATTAGAGCACTAATATCTCCATAATTTCCTTTAGGTCTACAAGGGCAGGGAAAGTAAATTGACTTAAAAATGAAGGTAACATACTAACAAAGTAAATAAATATTCCTTTACTCAAAATACTTACAAAAGTTCCCTTCCTAAATCGAGTATCCAATTTATCAGCAGGAGAGGAACTTAATACATATTCTACCATGCTCACACCAAGGCCTCCACTTTCTGATCGCGGAGACAGTATTGCATTTACTTCACTGTTTCCATGAAAAACCTGTCCAGATCTTCTCTGTACTGTAATAGGTTGAGACAGTGGATGGTCTGTTTGGAAGAAAAAAATGCAATTATATATTTATATTTTTAAACTAAACAAAAATGTTTTCACACAAATTAAAGGAAACAAAAATCATCAGATTATATTAAATGTTAATATAATCTTAGCAAAAAGCTCTTCATTGTACTGAGATTCAATAGCCTGGGCACATCTCTTAAAAATACAAATGTAAAGAGTCATTTAACAGTAAACAGGTAAAGGCCAATGTAAGTAACAAGCAAAATAAAAAGGTCAAAGGAGGTAACATTAACTTGAAAACTTAATGGTCTACAAGCAACATATTAAAAGTTAATTCTTTTGGTAACAATGTTTATTAAAAATCTTCAGGGATAAGAACCTAGCAGAACAAAAATAACTTCCCTAATTGGCAGAGGTATTTCTCAACTTGCATTGTTTTAGTAGACAGATTCAAAATGTGTGGCTGTAATGCTATAAACAAGTGAGTTAGTTTAGAAAAAACATTAATACACAGAATTTTCTATTTGTGGTAGGAAAACAAAGTATAAGTATCATGGACAGATTTTCTTTAAAGTCTCTTCTAGAACAGATAAAAAGTTTTCCATTTACTTTTTTTAATTGCGTATCTATTTTTATCTTCAAAGGCACATCTCTAAAGACTCCACATTACATGTCTTATGGTAATTGTTAAAATACTAATTTCCCCAGAATTCAGGGAGCTGGGAGCCAGCACCTTATGGAGATCAGGTCCAAAATGCCAGAAGCACATCATGCTTGCTAAGAGTAGTTTATATTGGCCCAGTTGTACATTGGTAAATATTTAACCATTAGAAATCCAGAAGAAGAAAATCTCTAATTGTAATTAACTGCCAATCTGTATGATGTAAATAAGCCTGCAATGCTCCACAATCCTTGCTATACCTGAGCCCACTGTTGTAGCCACTGTGTCTATCCATCTTGTTGAGGGCCTTCCCCTTCTTCATTGACCCTCTGCTTTACTATCCTTCTCCAGGGAATGGTTCCTTCTGACAACATGACAAAAGTAGGTGAAAGAAAGTCTGGTCATTCTCACTTCCAAGGAGCATTCTGGCTGCACTTCTTCCAGGACAGATTTGTTAGTCCTTTTAGCAGGCCATAGTACTCTTAGCATTCTTCTCCAATACCACAACTCAAAAGCATCAACTCTTCTTTGGTTTTCCTTATTCATCGTTCAACTCTCACATGTATAAGAGGTGACTGAAAAAACCATGGCATGAGTTAGGTACACCATAGTCTTCAAGAAGGTATCTTTGCTCTTTATCACTTGAAAGGTCTTTTGCAGCAGATTTGCCCAATGCAATAATGTCGTCTGATGTCTTGACTGCTGCTTCCATTGGTGCTGATTGTAGAATCAAGTAATATGAAGTCCTTGACAACTTCAATCTTTTCTCCATCCACTATGAAGCTGTTTTTTGGACCAGTTGTGAGGGTTTTTGTTTTCCTTATATTGAGGTTGCAGTGCAGTAAATTACTTAGTGTGGCTTTTCTAGCCATAAGTCTTTGTAAACTCTGTGGTGGAATTTGCTGTGAGCAACTGAGGAGCTTCTGATTGTAAAAGTTATCCACCTGGGGTATTTCTGTTGGGCACAACACAAAGCAATGTTCTGGGAGGTTCCTGCTCTCTCTCAGGTGCTTACAATTCTGATGTTATGATTAGTTAGTTTGGCCACTCTGCCGGGCTCAAAAGAAGACCTCCTAGAGGCAGAATTCTCTCTGACCTCTGGCTGAGGAAGACGTGCTGCTGAGAAAGACACCGAGAGACACACATTGCTGGGAGAGAGACTGTTGGGTGAGAGACTGTGGGCTGGGAGAGAAACTGAACGTTGTTCCTGAACTTGAATTGTAGCCTGGTGCTTCCCTAATAAAGTCCGTAATCTGTGAGTTCTATGTGGCCACTGCAGCGAATTATCGAACTCAGGAGAGGGGTGGTGGGTGTTTTGGTAGGAACGGTTGGTGAAAGGGCTGGAGGGAGGCAGAGGAAGCATGTCTGACCTTGCACGAATAGGCCTTGTGTTACTGATGGTGATCCTGTATTCTTCTTGTGGGGTTAGAGGAGGTCAGAAGATGTGACCTCCTTGCCCTTTTAGCAGAGGTGTAATCCATACTGCAGACTGTAGTCTTTAATCTTCATCAGTAAGTACTTCAAGTCATCCTCACTGATCAAAGACTTTTCTTCATTTGGGTGTTCTGTAACCACACTATTTATTCCCTTTGTTTTATAGTTGTCCTTATTTACAAACTGGTATCTCTGGTTCTCTGTTTTCAGTCTTACAAGTTTATTTTACTTTGGATACTTCTATATCTGGGTTGGTTTCTGGGTGATGATGTCATGTGTGTTAATCACAGGCTGCTGTTTGCTGCTGTTGGTTCTTCTTCCACAGTCTTCCCTTTAGCATCTCTTATAAGGTGAGTCTGATTTTTACAAATTCCCTTAATTTTTGTTTATCTGGAAATGTTCAAATTTTGCCTTCCTATTTGAGGGACAATTTTGCTGGATATATAATTCTTATTTTGCTGCTTATTTCTTTCAGAGTTTTATATATGTCATCCCACTGCCTTCTTGCCTAAATGCTTTCTGCTGAGAAATCAGAACTTAGTCTTACTGACTGCCCTTTGTAGGTTAACTTTTTGTTTTTCCTGAACTACTTTTCAAGGTTCTTTCTTTGTCTTTGGTTTTGGAAAGTCTGATTATGTTTTCATGATTTTCTTTTGGGATCTATACTGTTTAGGGTTTGTTGAAAGTCTTGAATGCATAACTTCTTGTCTTTTACCCCAGTAGAATATTTCTCTTCCAACAAATCTTCAACAATTTTCTCAATGGGTTTATTTGTCTCTTCCTGTTCAGGAACTCTGATCACATGTAAGTTATTCCTCTCAATAGTATTGCATATACATCTCAGGCTTTCTTCATTTTTTGGTTCTTTCTTTCTGACTGCTCCCTTACAAAGTAATATTGAGAGAACTGTCTTCAATCTCATCAACTCTACTTTCCATTGATTCAATTCTACTCCTTTGTTCTTTTAATGTGTTACCAATTTCTGAAATCTCAGTATTAGTCATCTGGATTTTGATTTGCTATTTCTGTATGATATCAAATTTTTCATTTATTTTGTCAGTTTGTTATTTGTTTTCCTAAATGGTCTAGAGTTTTATCCGTGTTTTCCTTAATTCTGTCAGTGTTTTCCTTGATCTCTCAATTCACTGAAGGTACTTAAATACAATTCTATTAAATTCTTTATCAGGTAGTTCCAATGCCAAGTCTTTGTCAGGAAGTTTTCTGACTCCGTATTTTGGTCCCTTAAGTTTGTACTACTTTATCTTGCTTCTTTGTGTGAACTGTGACTGCCAGTTGTCTCTGAGACATTGTGATGTCGTTTTACTTATATTTAATTGGTGATTCCATGTTGGTGTGATTTGCTCAGTTTTTGTTTTTTAATTTAATTTTTGGTTATACCCTAGAGAATGGGGCTGGTGTACTACTGTAGTAAGTAGCTTGGCAGCGCTTAGGCACTCACCAGCTGTCTCCAGATGGCTGTGAGAGTATGAGGATGTAAGCACAGATCTCTGTTAGCTGTTCATGTAGAGGAGTTGAGGGTGGGTTAGGCTAGTATTTAGTATTGACCATTGTCTATCACAGATCAGTTGGTGGACAAGCAGATGGTGACCCTCACCCAGTGGGTGGGGCTGCAGGAGGTGCAGATATGGTATGTGAGCACAGTTTTTTGCCTGCCAGCTACCAGTGGGGGCCCATGCAGTCCTCAGCACACAGAGCTGATTATCAGGTTGCTGCCCCAATCCGAACACCACTTGCAATGATTCAAAATGGCCACACCTTGCGATCAGTCAACAATCCCTAACTCTGTTTCTCTACTTATTTGATGTTTTCATTCCATTTCTCATAGTAGTTAGTATTTATTCTACTCCTTTATCCTTCCCTTCAAAGCTCAGAGTTCCAGGATTTTCATCTGTTTCAATGTTTTTGTTCCTTTGTTGTAGTGGGGCTGGGCAACTTGTCTGCCCATTCTGCCGTTTTCCTTCCTCTTTCAAATAGTTTTCCATTTACTTTTGTTTTAAACAAAGTTATTCATCTATTATAAGTATCTTTTCTATATATTTAGAAGTAACAACAAAATAATACTTAAGATCTGAGATCTACTGGAACACAAATATAATGAAATATTTAGGACAACACAGTTTCCCCAGAAAACGTTTACACAGGATTCAACAAGTTACCAGGTACCTCAAACTCAGACACAATAGCCAGGATTAAGTCTAGCTTTTAAAGGGCTATAATAAGGGTATTAAGTCATAATTTTATTAACTGTAATAATTTTTAAATGTTTGTTACGTTTGTTAAACCATATTAAAACATTTCCATTTCAACACCTGTGCTCAAGAGAGATTAAGGAGCTCTGGTATCGCAGTGGTTAAAGTATTTGGTTGCTCACCAACAGGCCAGCAGTTTGAACCCACCAGCTGCTCTGTGAGAGAAAAGATGAGGCAGTCTGCGTCTGTAAAGATTTACAGCCTTGGAAACCCTATCAGGCAGTTCTACTCTGTCCCTATAGGGTTGCTATGAGTTAGAATTGACTGAATAGCAGTGACTTTTTTGGTATGTGCTATGTGGAGTCCCTAGGTGGTGGAATCATTTAATGTTCTAGGCTGCTAACTCAAAGCTTGGAGGCTCAAGTCCACCCAGAAGCTCCTCAGAAGAAAGGCCAAAATATCAGCCATTTAAAACTCCACGAAGAACAGTTCTACTCTTGCCACACATGGGATTGCCATGAGTTGGTTTCCACTCGATGACAACGGGTTCTAAATGCTGGGCATTGTGCTGTATGTGGGAAATCCAACAAGAAATGAGACATCTTCTAACCTCAAAGAGATTACAGGTTTAACAGGAAACACTTACGATAAAAGTGCTTCAATAAAATAATCTACGATCCTATGGGAGCAGAAAGAAGAGGCACTGATCCTTCCCAGTCTTAGAATGAACCTCAAAGGATGTGATGTTTAAGCAGACCAAAAAAAGGTAAAAAGTTAAGATAAGCAAAAAATAGGTGAAGCAGGGGATGAAGACAGAATTTTAGAGAAACCAGCATGTCCAAAGACCTGGAAATGCCAGAAGAATATAACATAATCAACAATCAAAAAGTAGTTTAGTTCATCTAAGAAGGGACAAGATATATAATAAAGTATCCTGTAGTTTTATAAAGATCTTTCTTAGAAAAACAATTCCTTTCACAAAAATAATGTGTTGCTCATACTTATACATGCCTAGCATTCAAAATGCTTGTTCAATAAACTAAATTCATTACTAATTTTTTCATGTTTCCTGGCAAAACATTAATATTCATCTTAAAAGCACTATCTACACAGCTAAAAAAACAACTTTTAGGAAAAGGAGTGGTACATGGAAAGGAAGTGGTACTAGGATTATAAATGTGATGACAAAAAAAAAAAAAGTAATGCGTAAACTTATTTCTTAAAAGTTTCCCTGCTGGTACAACAGTCCTTCAAATGTAACACACCAAAAATATTTCCCAAATATCCATCTTGAATATAATCTCTCATTATCATGTTGTGCTGAAGATGCTTTGCTTTTGAATGCTCTAAAAAACAACTAGTTCTGGTAAATAAAGTAATTAACCATTCAACCTTTAAAACAAAACCGAAATATGGCCATCTAACAAGTTATCAAATCCATAAGCTTTTTAGCAAAGAATGTGTTTTTTGGAGGGTAGAGGGGTATAATAGTACAAACCACCAAATAATGTAAATTATGAGTGGAATTTAATATACAATAATTTCTAATTCACAAAAAGAAAAATTCTTGAAGGCCAAAGGCTAGGATCATGGATCTCACTGATCTCCCAAATCTGCTACCAAAAAACAAAAACAAAAAAATTCAGTGCTACCAAGTTGTGATTCACAGTGAGACCCCCTTGGCTTTCTGAGGTGGTATTTCTACGGAAAGAGCCCAATCTTCCTTCTGAGGACTGGCCGGTGGGTTTGAAGTGTGAGCCTTCTCGTTAGCAGTCAGATGCCTTAGGCACTATTCTACCAAAGCTCCCTACATCAAGGTATTATTTATTGATTGAACTCAAAGAAAATTTTCAACATTTTAAGAAAATTTTAGTCAAAATTAATCATGACCAAACATTTTAATCTATTTTGACTGTAAAAAAACACTTTCTAACCTTTTGGGTTTTAGCTTTTTGGCAATTACTTCAGTTTAACAACAAGTTTAAAGTTATAAACATGCTTACAATCTTTCAATATATTTTAATGATTTGGAGAATAAAGAAACACCTGGCAATGTATATTCAAAATAAAATGGTAATATTTATATGGATAGCTGCTGTTGAGCTGCATCCAACTCATAGCGACTGTATGTCCAATAGAATGAAATGCTGTACAGTTCTGTGTCATCCTCGTAATTATTAGTATGTTTGAGTCCATCTTGTGGTTACTGTGCCAATCCATCTCCCTTGCCCTTGGTGGTCCTATACTAAACCAAAAATGATCTCCTTCTCTGGGGATAATTCCTCCGTGATGATATGTCCAAATCTAGTGAGGTGGATAATGTTCTATTGTGATCCACAGGGTTTTCACTATTTTTCAGAAGTAGATTGCCAGGCCTTTATTCCTACTCTGACTTAGTCTAGAAGCTCTGCTTGAACCCACCAATCATAGGCAACCTTACTGGTAAATGAAATACCAAGGGCAAAGCTTCCATTTCAGGAGGTGGCATATAATCAAAAACCAATGGTACTGAAGGAAGAAGTTGAAGCTGCACTGAAGGAAGCGGCAAAACACAAGTCTCCAGGAATTGACGGAATACCCACTGAGATGTTTCAACAATGGATGCTGCACTGGAGGCACTCAGTTATGCCAAGAAATTTGGATGACAGCTACCTGGCCAACTGACTGAAAGAAATCCATATATGTACCCATTCCAAAGAAAGGTGATCCCACAGAATGTCAGAATCATCGAACAATATCATTAATATCACACACAAGTAAAATCTCACTGAAGACAATTCAAATCAACTGCAGCAGAGTATTGACAGAGAACTTTCAGAAATGCAAGCTGGATTCAAGAGGTCATTGAATGAGGGCTATCGCTGCTGATGTCAGATGGACCCTGGGTCAAAGCAAAGAATACCAGAAAATGTTTACTTGTGTTTTACTGACTATGCAAAAACATTCAGTTGTGTGGATAACAAATTATGGGTAACATTGAGAAGAATGGGAATTCCAGAACACTTAATTGTACTCATGAGGAACCTATACATAGACCAGGAGGCTATTGTTCAAACAGAACAAGGGGATACTGCATGGTTTAAAATTAAGAAGGGAGTGCATCAGGGTTGCATCCTTTCACCATACTTATTCAATCCGTATGCTGAGCAAATAATTCAAAAAGCTGGCCCATATGAAGGAGAAGGTGGCATCAAGATTGGAGGAAGTATCAACAACCTGTGATATACTGACGACACAACTTTGCTTGCTGAAAGTGAGGATGACTTGAAGCACTGATGAAGACTGAAGACTACAGTCTGTAGTATGGATTACACCTCAATATAAAGAAAAAAAAAATCCCCATAACTGGATCAATAAGCACCATCACGATAAATGAAGAAAAGACTGAAGTTGTCAAAGACTTCATATTACTTGGTTCTACAATCAACACCAACGAAGCAGCAGTCAGGACATCAGACCACATATAGCAACGGGCAAATGAGCTGCAACAGACCTCTTTAAAGTGCTGAAGAGCAAAGATGCCTCCTTGAGGACTCAGGCGCACCTGACACAAGGCCATGGTATTTTCAATCGCCTCACATGCATGTGAGAGCTGGACAATGAATAAGGAAGACCAAAAAAGAGTCAATGCTTTTGAGTTGTGGTGCTAGCGAAGAATGCTGAAAGTATTATGGACTGCTGAAAGGACTAAGAAATCTGTGTTGGAAGAAGTACAGCTGGAATACTCCTTGGAAGTGAGAACGGCCAGACTTCGTTTCACCTACTTTGGTCATGTTGTAAGAAGGAATCCTGGAGAAGGATATCATGCTTGATAAGGTTGAGGGTTGACAGAAGAGGGGAAGGCCCTCAACGAGATGAATTGACACAGTGGCTGCAACGATGGGCTCAAGTATAGCAAGGATTGTGGAGCTGGTGCGGGAGTAGGCAATGTTTCGTTCTGCTGTGCATGGGGTTGCTATGAGTTGGAGAAGCCTCAATGGCACCTAACAACAACAACAACAAAAGCTTCCAGCATCACAGCAACATGCAAGCTACCACAACACAATAAGCTGACAGACAGGTGGTAGAAATTCATTAATTATCATCCTTAAATTTGTTTTTTATATTAATTTGATCATTTAAAATAGATTGTTGAAGTTACTTAGACTTAGTTAAAAAAAAGAGAAAATCTATTTTTAAGAAACCAAACCAAAAACCAAACCAGTCACTGCTGTCGAGTAAGATCAGACTCACAGCAACCCCTCCTTGGGTTCTGAGGTGTTATCACTACGGAAGTAGATTGCCCAACCTTCCTTCCAAGGAGTGGCTGGTTGGTTTGAACTACCAGCCTTCTGGTTAGCAGTTAAATGCCTTAGGCACTACACCACCAGAGCTCCCTGTAAAATACCAGTTGCCATAAATCAATTCTGAATCATGGCAACCCCTCATGTGTCAGAGTAGAACTGTGCTCAATAACATTTTCAATGTTTAAAACTATAAATGGTTTTCAATGTTCAGAAGCAGATCACCAGCCTTTCTTCTGAGGTGTCTCTGGGTGGACTGGAACCTCTAACCTTTTAGTAGGGAGCCAAGCATATTAACCATTTGTACCACCTATGGACTCCACCTGTGTAATACATAGGAATAACTGTGTACTTTTCACATTTCACTTATCAGAAACATTTAAAAATATAACGAGCAAAATGATATGCTAACTAAGTAAGAATATAATTATGCTGTTTATTTGCCAACACATACTATCACTTCTACAAATTACACACTTTATACATGTGTTTATTTTACCTGAACAGCTTTTTGGACCTGAGAGTTTTAACTTACTGAAGAAGTCACTTTCTTTTCGAATGTGTCTAATATCCAATAGTTAGACTGAGCTGCAATTAGATAAGTCAGGTATTGCAATCTAATATAATTTGAAGATTGAAAGTTACCAAGGTTAAGTTAATTTGTTCTCTATGTTAACAAAACTTCAGAATTTTGTCATCAAAATTAATTTCAAATAAAATTTAATAAACCTTACTATGACAAAAATTCTTACTATATAGACAATCAGATAAGCACTCAATGACATAAAATGTGTATTATAGCAATTTATGAAATCTTCACAGATATCACAACATTTTTCCTACTATATTCTGAGATAGGTGCGTTTGTTTAAAAGAACTATGAATAAAGGCATAATTTTTACAATACACCAAAATAACTTACGAGAAGTTCCCCATGCAGTCTCTCTCCATTCATCATCCCCAAGAAATATGCCTTTTTGTCCATCTTTTGTTGAATCATCAGGTTCCCAAAACTTTTTGGTAGGCAAAAGCTATATGGAGAAAAAAGAAAGTAATTACATTTAAATTTTATTCTGATTACAAAAAAGCAACATGTAAAAGGAAGCATATGTACCAGTGACAATATATACAACTTAATGTTAAATGCTGATGAAAATTCAGTTACCTATGTCCTAATTTGACTCATTAATAACTCCCAATTTATATTTAGGTACTAGTGCTAATGATCACAGATTTGAACATTAATCGAAGTCCACTTCAGACTTTTCTACAACTTTCAAATGATTCTATTATTACATGCTGTTTTTAAGGAGCTTTGGTGGTACCGTGGATAAGACATATGGCTACTAACCAGAAAGTCGCCAGTTCAAACCCACCAGCTGCTCCATGGAAGGAAGATGAGCAATTTACTTCTGTAAAGATTTACAGACTCAGAAACCCAATTGGGGTCACTATGAGTCAGAATCGACTTGATGGCAGTGAGTTTGGGTTTTTTCTTATGATTTTTTTTTTACATAAACTTATTCATATGGCATACTAAATTTTTTATCAAAGAACAAGTCATGAAACAAAATTATCTATAGGAATGATTAAAATTTTTCTTTCAATTCCAAGTAGTGCCTTTTTGTGGAACCATTTCTATTCTGTAGTTTCTAGCACAGAAAGCATTTTTTGATCTTACTTCAGTTACTCAATGGAAATGAACATCACCACTTTTACTAGCTATCAAATACTAGCAACTTATCAATTCCAAATCAGAATGCTATGGAGACGCATAGGAAAGACCCCAAATATTTTTGAGATAACTATCTCAAGCCTCTATGCTCTCCGTTCTATACCGTCACATACGCATACATAAAAATTGTGATGACACATCCATTCACTGATTTACTCAAAATATACACTTTGCTAATTCCTATTTATTCAATAGTCATCCAGGTCTCTCCTCTGCACCTTTTGCGGCCACTTAGAGGACACAGATTGGGGATATGTATGATTGAACAGATTGGTTTTTGGAGACATGTCTTTTTCCCACAAGCATTTGTAATACTTTTATCACTCTCAGCCCATAATCAGGTGCCTAGTCTTTCAGCGCTCATTATTACACTTACATATACTTTTATTATTGCACTTACCACACTAAATTACCTGTTTGCTTCCTTAACGGCACAATGATCTCATCTTCAGAGAGTTTACAACATATAAACCACAATAGCATGTAACTTAGTAACACATGAATTAGGTCTGAGAAGTAAGACTGTATGTGAGTGTGAGAGAGTGTGTGTGTGTGTGTTTTCAAGGTTGAAACTGGGAGTGGAGGATTAGGAAGGCATAGTAAAGCATGAACAAAGGCAAAACTTGAGACAATGCAGCGTGTACATTAGAGAATGAGATGGAGAAACAGATGTGGGAAGATCAGAAGTTGATGCTGGTAAAGCTAAATAAGTCAGATTGTGAGGAAGCTTAAAGACATGCTAAGGAAATTAGATGTTATATTAAGAGCAGTAGGAATCGAGAGGTTGGCAAGAGTGACATCTTTTTTTAAAAAACTCCTCAAGTGGTAGTAATAATAATGGATGTTGTTGTTGTTGTTAAGTGCTGTCGAGTTGTCTATGACTAATAGCGACCCTATGCACGGCAGGATGAAACACTTCCCAGTCCCACACCAGCTCCATGATCATTGCTATACTTGAGCCCACTGTCACCGCCACTGTGTCAATCCATCTTGTTGAGGGCCTTCCCATCTTTTGTCGCCCCTCCACCTTACCAAGCATGACATCCTTCTCCAGGGAATGGTCCCTTCTGACAACATGACCAAAGTAGGTGAGACAGTCTGGCCATTCTCGCTTCCAAGGAGCAGTCCGACTGCACTTCATCCAGGACAGATACGTTAGTTCTTTCAGCACTCCACGGTACTTTCACCATTCTTCACCAGGACAACTCAAAAGCATCAATTCCTCTTTGGTCTTCCTTATTCACTGTCCAGCTCTCACATGCATATGAGGCAACTGAAAATATCATGGCTTAGTCCTCAAGGGGACATCCTTGCTCCTCAGCACTTGAAAGAGGTCCCTTGCAGCCAACTTGCCCAGTGCCGTATGCTGTCTAATGTCCTGAATGCTGCTTCCATTGGCATCGATTACAGAACCAAGCAATGTGAAGTCTCTGACAACTTCAATCTTTTTCCATTTATCCATTTATTGTGATGCTGCTTATAGGTCCAGTTGTCAGGTTTTTTATTTTCTTTATATTGAGATGTAATCCATACTGCAGACTGTATTCTTCAATCTTCATCAGTAAGTTCCTCAAGTCATCCTTACTTTCAGTAAGCAAAGTTGTGTCATCAGCGTATCGTAGATTTTTCCTCCAATCTTGCTGCCAGGTTCTTCTTCATATAGTTCAGCTTCTTGGATTATTTGCTCAGCATATATATTGAATAAGTATGGGGAAAGGATACAATCCTGATGCACTCCCTTCTTAATTTTAAACCATGCAGTGTCCCCTTCGTTCTGTTCGAACAACAGCCTCCTGGTCAATGTACAGGTTCCTCATGAGCACAATCAAGTGTTCTGGAATTCCCATTCTTCTCAATGTCATCCACAATTTATTATGATCTACACAATCAAGTTCCTTTGCATAGTCAATAAAACACAAGTAAACATCTTTCTGGTATTCTTTGCTTTGAGCCAGGATCCATCTGACAGCAGCTATGATAGCTCCTGTTCCACATCCTCTTCTGAATCCAGCTTGCACCTTTAGAAATTCTCTGTCAATATACTGCTGCAACTGTTTTTGAATTATCTTCAGTAAGATCTTACTTGCATATTGTTCAACAATTTCCACATTCTGTGGGATAACCTTTCTTTGGAATATGGATCGCTTCCAGTCATTTAACCAGGTAGCTGTTTTCCAAATCTCTTGGCATAACTGAGTGAGTTCCTCCAGTGGGGCATCTGTTAAACATCTCAATGGGTATTCCGTCAATTCCTGGAGCTTTGTTCTTTGCCAATTCATTCAGCGCAGCTTTGACTTCTTCCTTCTGTACCATTGATTCTTGATCATATGGCACCTCCTGAAATGGATGAAGATCGACCAGTTCTTTTTGGTACAGTGACGCTGTGTATGCCTTGCATCTTCTTTTGATGTTTCCTGCATCATTCAATATTTTGCCATAGAATCTTTCAATATTGCAACTTGAGGTTTAAATTTTTTTCCTAATTTCTTTCAGCTTGAGGAATGCCAAGTGTGTTCTTCCCTTTTGGTTTTCTAACTCGAAGTCTTTGCACATTTCATTATTGTAACTGGCTTTCTCTGCTCGAGCTGCTCTTTGAAATCTTCGTTTCAGCTCTTCTATCTTGTCATTTCTTCCATTTGCTTTAGTTATTCTCTGTTCAAGGGCAAGTCTGAGAGTCTCTTCTGTCATCCATTTTGGTCTTCTTTTCTCGTCTTTTTAGTGACCTCTTGCTTTCTTCATGGATGATGTTCTTGATGCCATCCCACAATTCTTCTGGTTTTTGGTCACTAGAATTCAATGCATCAAATCTGTTCTTCAGACGGTCTCTAAATTCAAGAGGGATATATTCAAGATCATATTTTGGCTCTCTTGGACTTGTTTAAACTGTCTTTAACTTCAAGTTGAACTTGCATACGAGCAGTTGATGATCTGTTCCACAATCAGCTCCTGGCCTGGTTTTGGCTGAAGATACTGAGCTTTTCCGTTGCCTCTTGCCACAGATGTAGTCAATCTGCTTCCTGTGGTTCCATCTGATGAAGTCCACATGTATAGGTGCTGTTTGTATGTTGATTTCAAGTCGTTGGTCTTGCAAAATTCTATCATGAAATTTCCAGCATCATTTCTGTCACTGAGGCCAAATTTTCCAACTACCGGTGATTTGTCTTTGTTTCCAACTTTTGCATTCCAGTCACCAGTGATAATGAACACATCCTGATTGCAGAAGTTGATAAAAATCTTTAATTTCCTTATCTTTGGCTTTGGGAGTTGGTGCATGAATTTGAAATAGTCATATTAACTGGTCTTCCTTGTAGGCGTATGGATATTATCCTATCACTGACAGCATTGTACTTCAGGACAGATCTTGAAACATCCTTTGTGATGATAAATGCCATGCCACTCCTCTTCAAAGTGTCATTGCTGGCATAGTATACCACATGGTGGTCTGATTCAAAATGGCCAAAACCAGTCCATTTCAGCTCACTAATGCCTAAGATATCAGTCTTTATGAGCCCCATTTCATTTCTGACAACTTCCAATTTTTCTAGATTCATTCTTCATACATTCCATGTTCCGATTATTAATGGATGTTTGCAGCTGTTTCTCCTCAATTTGAGTCATGCCACGGCAGCAAACTGAGGTCTCAAAAGCTTTACCTTATCCATATCATTAAGGCTGGTTCTACTCTGATGATGCAGCTCTTTCCTGGTCCTATTTTGAGAGTCTTCTGACATAAGTGGCTTATCATCCTGCACTGTATCAGAAAATGTTTCGGGCCTATTCAAAACGTTTTACCTGGCCAATGCTTTGAGAAGTGGATGGCCTCCTCCTTCTTTCTAGTCTGTCTCAGTCTATAAGCTGTTGAAATCTGTGCACCATGTGAAACCCTACTGGATTTGAGACACCGTGGCACAACCTCAAGCCTCTCAGCAACACGTCACCACAATAGGATAGACTGACAGACAGGTTTGTCTCCCTTAGTTGTTCAAAATCTCTCCACCCTCCCCCTACATAGATTCCTGCCTCTTGGAAGGGGCATGGCCTGGGTCCCCAGCCTTACCTGGATCCCTGCCGCTGCTTCCTCGCTCTGTCCTGGTCCTCCCCATCCCCCTTGGCATTTTCTCTAATAAACCCCATAATCTGTGAGTGCTGTGTGACCACTGAAGTGAATTATCAAACCCAGCAGAGAGGTGGTGGGTGCTGCAAGAGGAACAGTTGGTGTCAGGGTTGATGAGAGTGCTGGAGGGTAAAGGTTTACAGCCTTGGAAATCCAATGGGGGTCACTATGAGTCAGAATCA